GAAATATTCATCGTTAAAAAAGTACATTCCACAGAATGGAAGGAATCTTTTTTTATATCTCATCTTTATTATATTATATCCTGAGGATCTTCTTTGAAAGAGTAAATTCTAAATTCAAACGAACGCAAAGCAAAGATATATTTTACACATTTTTTTTTTTTTACAAGTAATTTAAATTTGCGTTAAACGAAGCGATACAAGAACGATATTACGAAATGTAGATTTAAAAAAGACTTGAGCGCGAATTCTTATACGCAATACGCAAAGAGAGAACAAATAAGCAACCTCATTTGCTCATAAATAAAAATAAGAAATCGGAAGGATCTCTAATCGATTTCCCCTTTCTACTACATCCGCACAAGTCGTCGAGTAATCACGAGTAGCGATTAAAAGAAGAGAAAAGAAAAAGAAAAGAAACCAATATCTTCAATTTTCCCGTATATAAATTGAAATTATCGAGGTATATATCGAGTTGGAGAGCATAATGCATAATGAAAGAGGCCCATCTGGCGGAACTCGTAGTAATAATAATAATAATGAATAATATAATACAAATACGTGTATTATCCGCCTCTTTTATCTTTTAATGCCACGAAGGACACGATGCAATATCGCGCGACACGAGGCGTTTAATTTATAGATAAAAGACGAATCTTGGAGGGAGGGAGGATTATAAACGGTCAATTGTTAATCCACCTTTGGAATATTCATCTTTGTAGAATAGAAGGTGGAATTGTCGTCGCGCTGACAGATCGAGAGAGTCTAAAGTTCGGTCGACGTAATAACGACGCAATACCGACGACCGGAAGTGCCATCAGCCACGTACAAAGAAGCTGAGCTGAACGAGGCTTCAGTTTCGTTCGTGTGTGTGTGTGCGCGTGTACACGTGGGCCGAGTGTGAATCGCTCGAGAAATTGACGAAACGCTCGTGATTCGCAATATTCGAAAATCTTTCAACGCCGAGCTTTGAAGTTTCTCTTTTGATATTGGACGATTCGAATCGAGAGACAGGGTTAGTGATATAGAGTCTTACGTAAGTAAGTAAATTTTCGAGTCGAATTTCACGCGTAGTATAGAAATGCTCGTTATTTTAATTCAATTCAATCTGAGGATGAGTATCTACGATTCAAAGTAGCGTGTCTGAAAATGTCTCGAATGGTATTTGAATGGTAGATACTCTTCTGAAATTCTTGGTTAGGTATTATTTAAATTTGAAAACATTTTCATCGTATTGAATTATAAAAGTAAAGATGTGATAGGTAAAATTATTATTTTTCGTGTACTATCAAAGATGATGGTGATTAAACGAAGGCATTTAAAATTTTTGGCCTTCCTTAAGAATTCAATTATTCCAATTGTTCGAAATATAATTCGTGATAACACGATTGGATCGTGATGGAGTTGGTAATAATAAATTATTGCGCGAGAATGAAATTAATAGTCGGGGTATTTGATGATTTCTTCTTCCTTGGTTTTTCTCGGAAATTTGCGTAATTAAAAAAAGTGAAATTTATCGTCGATTATCAGCTGAGATAAGCGGTAAGGATTGGGTTACGAGTACTTGTGCGTATTCCTACTTGGATTTCGTTCGTTCAAGTTCTCTCGTGTTTCTCAATTCTGAAGCATCGAAAATGCTCACAGCGCGTTATTTTAGAAGTGTTTCGCTGATTCGGTCATGTTTTAACGTATCATCTTGAAATAAAGCTTCTCAAGAAAAACGCGAAATTGAAGGATATATATATTGTATTATTATCTCTAATTCCAAATCTATTATTCAGAACCAAGTACACGATAATAAATAAAGTACAGTAAAGAAGAAAGGGATTAGAATTTATTAATAAATGAAGCAATGAAATTTCGAAACAAATTTAGAACAAAGTTCATTCTCGGGCGATTAACTTTTCGTCCAATATGTCTGGTCTGGGTTTTCTTGAGTTAAACCCCCCGAAAGTTTAAACAGAGTCGTTATTTCTTGCTTCCTTCGCTCTCGATTAAGATGCAACATAGAATAATCCGTGGCCTGTATCCTTTTTTTGTCCGCAGGGCGCTATTCTGACGACGATGTTGGCGACGAGGAACTTTTCCAGTAAGTATGATGCACAGGGTAAGTACCTCCGGCCCTCTTCAGCGCTTCATGGACCACGACAGACAGTACTTTTATATCTCCCATTAAATTTTTACGCCCAACCCTCTCCCCCTTGTGTCTATCTCTTTCTCTCTCTCTCTTTTCTCTCTGACACACACCCTCCGTCTCTTTTTAATCACCACGTCTCCCTCGATTTTATATCTCTTTCTCTCTCTTTCTTTCTCTTTCTACGACTTTCTACGACTTTCTTCGTAATTCTGTCTTTTTCTCTACTTTATATATATATGTATCTTTCTCCAGAATTCATAACCCATAAAAAAAAGAATACCCACCTCGACTCTTCATCCCATGTTTTCTTGTTAATAAATTCTCCTTCTTCTCTTGTATATATATTTATATATATATATATGTATACATATATATATATATATGTATTTATATAAAGGATCTGTTCATCAGCCCTTTCGTTTTTTTCAAGAGGTGCTTCACGACGTGGCCAACCGCGTACTTTTATTTCGCTTATTAAGAAACCTACTATCTAGCTTCAACAACTCGAGTCACAACACAATCCCCTATCCCTCTTTGTTTTCGAGGGACGGAAACGCGAGTTGTTTACGAGGCGTGGTTGACAATGGCGGGGTTTAACCAAGGGACCGAGGTGTTACGCACTGATTTTCTCGTGTGGAACTCGAGTTTTCGTGGACGAAAAGAAAAAAAAAGAAAAAGAAAAGGGTAAAGGGTGAAGGATACTTAACGAAGTTGGGGACAAAAAAATGATCGTAGAAGGCTCTATTTCTAAATTTTGCCTGGAAGGGAAATAATTGTTGTGCTTTACCGTTTCTCTGTATGTTTCTTCTTTTTTTTTTTTTTCTTTCTTTTAAGCTTCTTACGACGCATTAGATGGAAAAAAAAAAGAGGAATTTTAAAGTCGATAATAAGATCAGTGTACAACGCCTCGTACAATTCCCCTTCGTGTTTTAAGAAGTATTTATTTCAATTAATGATATTCATTGATAAGTTGATACAGATTAATCGGTCAAGATGGCGAGATGAAATTCTGAAAATGATCCACGAAGTGAAGCACCAGATATCATTCCTGCTCGTGCACCAAACGAATTAGAGAGCCATTAAATTTCGTTTATCCCTGTAAAAATCGGGATACAACCTGAGCAGCGAGGTGAAATTTATTCTTTTCTTGATTCACTATTCGTATCCTCATCAACGTCCATAAAATTCGACGATGTCATCTTCTTTCAAAAAAAAAAAAAAAAAAAAAAAAATCCTCACGATTTCAATCAAACCTCTTTCTCTATATATATTGTCGCTCATTCGACAAATTTCATCCTCGCTTGCTCCGATTTAATTAATTAATTAATCATGATATATTCTCATTTCACACGTCGTGAACTATCTCATAGTCGATGCACTTGGCTCGCACCTCATATCCTGCAAGGACTGTGCTGCGTTATCCAGAAATTGCATCGTGTTAATGTCTCTCTTAGAATGACGATCGTATCCATTTTCCCCCCCCCTTCCCCCTTTTTAATACAATTGAAAAGAGGACAATATCAGCATTGGAAAGTTCTGGGTAACGCGAATCGTCGTGGACTCAAGCAGTTTTCTCCTCATCAAAGATCATCAGATTCATGCTTCGAAAATTCGCATTAATATTCCCCCCCAAAGTAAAAAAAAAAGTTGGATTGGCGGAGTGTCAAAGTGTCTTCCTTTGAACACTCGTGGAAAGGAATAGAATATCGTGCAATGATACACGAGATGTAAAAAAAAAAAAAAAAAGTGGATCAGCGAGGAATCGTCGATCAT